GTGTGCCTTGGCAGTATAATATAATTTATATACATTTGAATAAGATCCATCTTGCTTGGAACTGTGTAGACTGCTGTTGTTGCTAACTAGGCTTCATGGCTCCTGCATTTTTGGTTGGTTTGAGGCCCACCGTGGTAACCGATAGCAACCAAACAAACAGCCTGACCACCGACTAATAAGATAACTGTTAAACTAAGTTTTTGTTCCTACAGAATACATGCATGGATCAAATGACTGAATTGACCTTAAAGTGATAAGTGATACAGAGAATGACATGTTTTGTATATCTCCTGACAGGACAGTGTTCCATCACTGCAGCTCAGAATAACACAAGCCCAGCTTGGGCCATCATTTGAAATCAAAAGCTGTATACATGATGTGTGCATCATTGGATCATATGGCCCCTTCAACTTTTATACATTTATTAGAAATTCAAAATACTATATATTTGTTTTACTTCATTATATAAATGCTTTATTCAAATGATCGTCTCTCTTCCACAGCTACCTTCAAGGCTGGAAGAAGACCCTCCTCATAGTTTCCCACGACCAGAGTTTCCTTGACGAGGTGTGTTCGGATATCATCCACTTAGACTACCAGAAGCTCTTCTACTACAGAGGGAACTACTGTAAGTATTATTTTTAGATCTATTTAGATGCCAAAAATGTCTTTATTGTTTTTCCTCACAATATTTCATTCAAAAATATTAACAAAAATCTAACCTTTAATTGAGGCAACATAATTGAAAGAAACATTACATTCTTATCATGACACAAATAAAGAAATATTTTGCATCTTGTTTTGCTCATTTTTACTAAAGGGGTGCCAATAATTCTGGAGGGCACTGGATATTGTGTTTAAGATAACATCACTCTTTACTGATGCAATTCCCCTTTTAAAACATAAGGGCTTCTTCTCGCTACTATTATTTATTTTGCAACTATTTTATATTCCTTTTTCAGTGACCTTCAAGAAGATGTATGTGCAGAAGCAGAAAGAGATGCAGAAACAGTATGACAAGCAGGAGAAGAAGCTCAAAGACCTGAAATCTGGGGGCAAGTCCACGAAACAAGCTGTGAGTATCACTGTTCCCTCAGGATGCAGCTTTCTAAACATGATTTACAGAGAAAAACAATCTTATGACGACTGGACAAAAGCTCTGTTCCTTCAACATTCCCCCACTCTAAATGGTCACATGAGTCTGTTTGCCAGCTCATAGAGTCCTGTTGTGAACCCACAAATGTTGAGTACTCCAAAGTTTTATGTTAGAAATGTATAGTAGGGTCCCCAGCACATAGAAACTGCCGGATGTTAACTTCCATATGTTGGGCAATTTAGACCATTAGCACAAGTTGAGTAAATTAGCATTAATTACCATTATAGCATATGTGGACAATAGTTCAAAAATAAAGAGTGGTTTTGGTGATTATGAGGATGCAGAGTCCATTTCTGAAAGTTTCAAAAATGTGAGTTTTTACCAGAAAGTGGCCTCATTTTGACTCTGGGATGATTTGAATACATTATGGGTCCATTTTGAAGATTTATGGGACTATGGATGTTTTGAATTGGAATTGTGCAAATTGCCAAACGTATGCAGGTTAGCATCCGGCAATTTCTATGTGCTGGGGACCCTACTATACATTACAAACATAACACTTTGGGGTACTCAACATTTCCGGGTTCACGGTGCTGGAAACGACACTATAAGCTTTAGGACTTTGGCAAACTTACAGCATACAACTCTGGAGTTATAGGATATGGCGTCACACTTTGCCATCCTCAGTTGGCCGCAATGATTAACCCTTCTGTTCTGTCTTGTGTCTCCTCTCAGGAGAAGCAAACAAAGGAGGCGTTGACCAGGAAGCAGCAGAAGGGCAAGAAGAAGGGCCCTCAGGAGGAGGAGAGCCAGGACGCCACGGAGCTGCTGAAGAGGCCCAAAGAGTACACCGTCAAGTTCACTTTCCCCAACCCCCCGCCCCTCTCTCCACCCATCCTGGGACTTCACTGTAAGAACTGGAACTCGATGCTCACAACCAGGCGTCGCAGTGACCCTATTGAACATTTCTAATACATAATGACGGAAAAATCTTAAAGCAATTTGTTGTTATGAAGAATTAGAACTCTGAATAAGGGCTGTAGCTTTCAAATGATTGACAGTGTGACCATCTGAACTGCATGCTGCAGTATCCCGTGTGGTCAGGTGGTCTTGTAAACTTCTGATCACCTCCCTGGGAAACATGTTTTCCAACTCCAAATTGTATCTGATGCGGCGTTGCTTATTGAGTCTCCACAGTGTCAGCTGAGCGCCGTAGGTTGAGCCGTCAGAACACGGCCCCGAGAAATATGTCTGTCCACGGCAAAGACACAGAAACCAATTTAGTCAAATAGATTTAGTTTAAGCTGCACTGTTTTTAAAGGCCTTTCTCAAATCTTTGATTTGCTTTGTGTGTTGACATGAAAAGTGAGAGCACAGTCTCTGTTCATCTTTATTCTCTTTGCATGTATACATTCATCATCTCAAAGCTTGGCTGTATATTAACAATCATTTTGAAACTTCTTCAGCCTCTTCCTTTAGATTCAGAAAGTGGTTCAACATTCTGACTCCATGCTCTTTCCTCTTTACAGGTGTTGACTTCGGCTATGAAAATAAGCCTCTCTTCAAAAATGTGGACTTTGGAATCGACATGGAGTCCAGGAGTAAGTTTCCTGCTTTATTTAATGGTTAACCTTTAAATGCTTTCTGGATCCTTGGGGATACAGTGATTTGAGTGAAATGTGTGTAATAACAGTGTAATAAGGGTGTCATGTTGGTGTTACTTGGGTGAAATATGGTTCTAATAACATGTAATATAGGTGAAACAGTTTAACATGGGTGTAATAGTGGTGTAATGTGGGCGTGATATAGTATAATAACAGTATATTATGGGTGTAATATAGTATAATAACAGTATATTATGGGTGTAATATAGTATAATAACAGTATATTATGGGTGTAATATAGTATAATAACAGTATATTATGGGTGTAATATAGTATAATAACAGTATATTATGGGCGTAATATAGGTGTAATAACAGTATATTATGGGCGTAATATAGGTGTAATAACAGTATATTATGGGTGTAATATAGTATAATAACAGTATATTATGGGTGTAATATAGGTGTAATAACAGTATATTATGGGTGTAATATAGTATAATAACAGTATATTATGGGTGTAATATAGTGTAATAACAGTATATTATGGGTGTAATATAGTATAATAACAGTATATTATGGGTGTAATATAGTATAATAACAGTATATTATGGGTGTAATATAGTATAATAACAGTATATTATGGGTGTAATATAGTATAATAACAGTATATTATGGGTGTAATATAGTATAATAACAGTATATTATGGGTGTAATATAGTATAATAACAGTATATTATGGGTGTAATATAGTATAATAACAGTATATTATGGGTGTAATATAGTATAATAACAGTATATTATGGGTGTAATATAGTATAATAACAGTATATTATGGGTGTAATATAGTATAATAACAGTATATTATGGGTGTAATATAGTATAATAACAGTATATTATGGGTGTAATATAGTGTAATAACAGTATATTATGGGTGTAATATAGTATAATAACAGTATATTATGGGTGTAATATAGTATAATAACAGTATATTATGGGTGTAATATAGTGTAATAACAGTATATTATGGGTGTAATATAGTATAATAACAGTTGGTAAATATAAGGGTAATATAGTATAATAACAGTATATTATGGGCGTAATATTGGTGTAATAATGTAGCAAATAGTAATCAAGTAAATATTGAAATGTGATTGCCAATTTAAGGGTTAAGAACACCAAAACATGTGAAGGACGTCTACAATACAAATAAAAAAAGTTCAGTTTGCATTTGAACATAATGAAACATGGAAGTAGGTTAGTATTTTCTTCATGTGGAGATTATGGCAGAGAAGCAAGATCTTCACCATCATAGACAAGTTCATCTTCCAGTCTCCTCTTGCTGTGGTGCGTTCAGGCTGCTGATACTTCACTTCCCTTTCTTCTGCTCCCATCAGTCTGTATAGTGGGACCCAATGGTGTGGGGAAGAGTACCCTACTGCTGCTGCTCACTGGGAAGCTGCAGCCTGTAAGTGTAGAGACGCTGACATTTGAATATTACTGAGATACCTGTGCTCCTGAGCTAACGGATGATCTGTGTTTCAGACCAAAGGAGAGATGAGGAAGAACCATCGCTTGGTGAGTAACTTCCTGTTGATCTCTGACTCTGTCAACTGTTGGCCATCTGCTCATCAGGGTTGGGAGGGTACATTTAAATATGTTCCGTTAATATTAATACTAAAGCAGCTGTTCACCTATTGTTGGTAAATGAGCTTTTTCTTTGATCTTAAAAGGTATTGTAATCCTGCTAGTAATCCCCATTTTTAACAATGTAACAGTGATCCGACTAGTTCAGAGTGTAATAATCAACATTCTTCAATAGATAGCCTAACAGCTGAGGACACTGAATACACCCGGTCACAATCTGGCAACCACAACAATATGCTAGGCAGCCCCTCCTAAGGGAGATAACGGCTGCTCAATGTTGGTCAGCTGTGTCAGAGGCGAAGGAGGACATGCAGGGCAAATGATTCCCCAACAGTAAGGACATACAGTTAGAATGTATCCTTATCACATTAGCTTAGCGGTGGTGATGCGCAGCCATGCAACCGTAGTGGTTCTTTTATAGCCTCACTAGTCATTTGCTGTTCGTTTACGCTACAATTATAAAAGTGGTGTTATTAAGTGGAGATCACCCTGCTAAAAGACCGCAGTCCTACGCAGGAGAAATAGAAGTCCAGGCAAGTTCATTCCCCAAAACTACCTTCAAATAAAAGCATAAAATTTAATTTCTATCGGTGTGTGTGGGGGGGTGGCGGAGTGTGTGTGTGTGTGAGGAAGTCCACGAGTGTGTGTGTGTGTGAGGAAGTCCACAGAGTGTGTGTGTGTGTGGAAGTCCACGGAGTGTGTGTGTGTGTGAGGAAGTCCACGGAGTGTGTGTGTGTGTGAGGAAGTCCGCGGGTTGGTCCACGGTCACTGTACCCAGGAAGAAAACAATGGAAAAAGAGAAATCTCCAACGAGGCGTTTTGGGGCAGCATAGACTGTTAGAGTTTTACTCGCTACAGGGTGTACTTTGAGGGTTAGTGACTCTGCAGACCGTTTATAACACACAAGGGGACGGGTCAGACAGAAAAAGCAACGCTATGGAAAAACAGAATTCATTCAAAGTGTTTTTCTGGAACCTAGTTGATGTCCTATTGAACAGCTGATGAAGAGTGTAACCGGGGTCTCTGCTGCACAGCTGAACATGGAGGAGACGGCCACAGAGTACCTTATGAGAAACTTCAACCTCCCCTACCAGGACGGCAGGAAGTGCCTGGGACGCTTCGGCCTGGAGAGCCACGCCCACACCATCCAGATCTCCAAATTGTCCGGTATGAACATGGACCGTCAGACAACATGTCAGCTGACAGGATGTAAATATCTTCTGTAAACATTGTGTCTGGGTGGTCTCTGCAGGAGGTCAGAAGGCCAGAGTAGTGTTTGCTGAGCTGTCCTGTCGGCAGCCTGATGTCCTCATCCTTGTACGTCCCTGTGAGACTTATATCCACGCTGAACCCACAGAATACCTGGATGAATTCTACAACTGACTGATTTCTCATTTCTCTTATAGGATGAACCTACCAACAACTTAGATATTGAGTCCATCGATGCCTTGTCGGAGGCCATCAATGAATATAAAGGAGGTGAGAAGCATGTGTTCTGTAAGTGACTGTAAGTGTGTGTGACCATACTGGTTATTAGTGGAGAAAGCAGTTAAATGGTTTGGCATGTACAAGATAGAAATAGTAGTTATCTGGATGTAGGTCCAGAGCCCTCTACCTTAAGGCCCAGCATGCAGCAGTGGTCTGTACTGAGGAGGGTTTAAGGTGATTGAGGGAACTTCAGGTTAACGCAGTTTTAGTCCTACGATGCTCCTATTTATGCTGCACACCTAACCTGCTCCAGTTCTATTCCAGATAACAGCTCTCATGTCCTGCTGACCAATCAAAGCTCAGTGCACGGGTTGTTGAATAATATTACACAAATAAGAAGTTTAAGGCAATTAAATCATATTCCAGGCTCAAAGCAAACCATTTGATACCGCCAAATGCAGGATGGACGTGAGTAAATTGCAGACTGTGAATTGTTTTAATAATTGTGGCTGGTTCTGTTGTACTTTAGAGAATCCGACTCACTTTCACTATCCGATGTGTTTATGATGCGCCAGCGGACGTCATTGTGTGCGTCTGCTGCTGTGGGACACGTGATTGTATGAAACTAAAATACAAATGTATTTATATAACTCGGTAGGAAGGTTCCTAAGCTAAATGGACTATTCGACCGCACCCTGTTTACAGTGTGTGGTTGAATTTGCAACAGCAAGGCAATGTTTTGTTTGAAAAGTATAAATAACCGAAAGAGTGAAAGTTGACTCCAAACCAAAGACATTCAGTCTGAACTAGCTTTGGGTCTGATCTGAAGGATTTGGTAACTTGACTTAATGTAGCGCAATGCTCCCGGAGATCGAGCGCGACTACAAGAGGGAGGGCTGGAGTCTCTGGGAGAGACCATGGTCAACAAGGTCAACCCATGAGACCCTCGCACATCCTCAATACACTTCATGTGGAGCATGTCCTCAGAGCGGCACGCATAATAAAACCTATCTATCCCCTTTATACTGGACTGTCACATCTTTAAGGCATGGTGGTGGAGTGTACATTTCTATAAATATCAAGGGAGGTCAGTCGGTACTCGCCAGAGTAGGCGGGGGAGGCCCCACGGCACATGTAAAAAGTAGAAAAGTTGATTTTTCACAATTCTTTGGCAGTTATCAAGAAAATTGAACAATAATAACTAACAATCGCTGGTTGCATTATTGTTAATGTTGTTATAATAACAGTAGATTATGGGTGTAATATAGTATAATAACAGTATATTATGGGTGTAATATAGTATAATAACAGTAGATTATGGGTGTAATATAGTATAATAACAGTATATTATGGGTGTAATATAGTATAATAACAGTATTATGGGTGTAATATAGTGTAATAACAGTATATTATGGGTGTAATATAGT